CTCCGCTTTCCCCTCTCCCCTCTTTTATACTTACTTCTTAGTCTTGCGGACCTTCGGCACTATTTCTTTGTTATTTCTTAGAGTAGTTTCTAGCAACTGACAGGAAAAGAAAAATTTGATATTTTTGAAATTGTTTCTAAAGAAACCTGGCCTTAAGCTCTGTGACCGTCATTTTGCGCACTTCAGCAGAGCGTAGTTGAGAATGGAACTCAGACGTATAGCCGATGACAGACTATCAAAAGAGTAAAAATGCAGTTCAACCAAGGCGAAAATTATGTGATGTGTATGGCGAAATGACATAAATGAAATGCCAAAATTGGTTTGCAAAATTATTTTCCGGCAATTTCGATCTTGATGACACAGCATTTTCGGAAGGCCTCTTAGAGCCGATGTGAATAAAATAAAGTCTTCGTTCGATGCAAATTGCCGAATAATAACTCAAGGAGTTGCTAAAAGATCAAATCACTACAAACGCCGAAATTTCATAAATAAAGGTTATGTTGTCTTTTTGGTGCAATTTCAAGGGTTTATTTTGAACTTTTAGAACAATGCCACTGTTAAATCTAAAATGTATTGTTAAAAGCTGAACAGAATGAGTACCGCACCCAAACAGAAGCGACCAGCATTTATCAAAAGAAAATCTATAGTTTTCCAAAAGAATGACGAGAAACCTCAAACACGTTTGATGACTCACCCAAAATCTGTTGCAGCTTGAATAGGAGGCTCTGCAGACTTGGTACCTTCGGATTATTACCACTCTCTCTCTCGGTCTCTAAAAAATTTTTCGAATGACAGAGCGTTCATCTCAAATCAGGACGTCAAAATGCTGTTCGAACAGTTTTCTGGCAGCAAGGATCAAAAATTGTATGAGCATGGAATCAATCACTCTCCCAAGAGAAAATCAAAAAGGAATTGAATGGAAGTTCAGCATGCAAATTTTAATAAAAAACTTTTATATAATAAAAAAGTGTTTAAAATTGCACTGAAAAACTGTAATTTGTTAGCTGAGTGGCCCAATCGAATGTGAAAAAATCTACTAATTTAAGCTTCGCAAAGAAATACTAAAAAATCGTCTTAAAGTAAAGTCGATTTAGTCTCACCTTTTCACATTTGCTTACATTATATAACTTACATCTCTTATCTTCACTTCTCTTCACCTCATCTGCCACATCCCAGCTCGGAGTACGTTGCAAACTCTCAGGAGTTATCTCACAATCCTAACGCCTTTTACTAACAAATAAAAGAAAATTGTGGAAATATTGACATAACAATTTTTAGATAAGATTAAATTTTAACAATGCAAATATGAAGTTCTGCTGCCGCCGCCGCACCGGTGAGTGCTGCAATTGCTAATAGAAAAAGTAAAGGAGTTGCTTGCTGCTGATATGGCAACCGAATGTGCCATCCGTATATGGACCATAGGAAAGTTGCCAAGAAAAGTTGAAGAAAATCAAACAAAGGCAATATTCTAAAGCAACACTGGAGCAGCGCAAAGATTTCGAGTGAACTTTAAAGTTTATTTGCTGTGTTAAATTTTTGAAAAGATCATAAAAATTTTTCGACAGCAACACGTGACTCGTCGCCTTAGAGCACAGACAAATGGCGAGAGAACAAGCGAAAGTATGTAGGTAAGTGTAGCAACCAAGCGAGCCAGCGAGCGAGCGAACGTTAATCCTTTGGCACGTAAGCAGCGTACACACGAACGCACTGAGAATACATGCAGTTTGCTTGCTATGATTACGCCATGCACGAGTGTGTACCTGCAAAATTAGTTGAGGAGTAACGAAATATGAAAATGCGCAAGATGAATTCCTGCAAGTTTTCTTACTAAGGAACTTAGAACAAATTGAAAAATTACAAAAACAAAAAACAGGCAAATATTCGATGTGTGTGATATTTTTTAATTGGCTGACACCTTTTCATATCGCGTTTGCGACTCTCACAGAAAGAGTCAATTTTTAATTATCTCAAATATTTCTTGGGAAAATCCAATGTGATTCTCAAAGTTCGCAAAACCGCCTGGGAGGGCAAATGTGCTGAAGTGAGAATTATAGCTCAACAAGCCGGCAAAAGCATAATGACACAGCTGATGCACCCTAGTTTGAGTATAGTTAAGTTGCTGCGGCTGCTGGTCAATAGGCACACTGTGACCGCTAATTACTTGCTATTGGATCCATAAAGCTGCAGCTAGGAGCATGAGCATCGTGAGAGATATGCCGTCAAAAGCCGAGAGCTCTAAAAGGCAATGTGTCGGCTCTGTGCCTACTCTACAAGCAATCGATTCCACTTAACTTAGTTTTTCTAGATGATATCTTGGTTAGATGATCCGTCAATATACCTCCAAGTTCCGTCTTGTTTAGTGCAAGTAGAAGTTTGGTTTATCCAAAACTTACACATAATCCAACCCGCAGAAGCTTAGTAAAGCTGGAAGAGCAGCAGAACTATAAGTTGCCCACTGTTTTAGATATCATTTGAAATGTCTAAAAAGGCAATGGTGACAACCTCGTGGTCATTGAATTCGACGTATTGTGGAGGTCGCATAAGAAACCTGCTTTGGAGTTTGCCTCCCATTTAGACCCATCAGAAAAAATCAAATTCGTGCCTTCCGTGCAATCTTTATAGCTCGAGTAGAGGAAGATGGCATTTACCTAGCAGAAGATTTCCATTTCTCGTTCAAAATATCACTTTCATTCGAGTTCTAATATATTGGATGAGTGCATAAGTTCGTGCCCGATTTCAAGTGCAAACTATTGTAAAATTGAAATTTTTTGATGAAAGCGCTTTTATTAATCAATTAGGTATTCGCCATCCATGCTGACAATACTTGTTGGCAGTGATCGTTTCTCCAGCTCCAGCTCAAAATAGATCACGCCTCGGATATCCCGCCAAATGCACAGCAGTACCTTCATCGGATGCAATTCACCTTTCGACATCGGTTCCGCCCCTTCGTGTGTGTGTTTCCATGTTATTTTGCGTTGAACATTGTTGTGCAGGATCCATTTTTCATCACCAGTCACGAGCCGATCCAAAAAAGGTTCGTTATTGATACATACGGTCCACTTTGTTTTTTTTTCACTCAACTGATGTGGCACCCATGTATCGAGCTTCAAAGTGTACCCAACCTTTTTTAAACGACGAAACGCAGTTGATTTGTTGATGTTCAATCTTCCGTCGAAATACGTGAGTTATTCGCAACTAAAGTCCTTAGAACATCGTCATCAAGCTCAGAAGGCCGTACACTGCGAGGTTGATCTTCGAGATTAAAATCTCCAGAACGAAATTTCGCGAACCATTTCTTTACTGTGCGGAGTGCTGGAGCTCGGTCCAAATAAACTTCGCGAATATCTTTAGTTGCAGCGCCTACTGTTTTTCCTTTGCGGAATTCGTATAACATAATATGACGCATATGATCTTTTTCGTTGTCCATCTTCCATGCGTCTTTTCACTAAAATCAAAATGATGATTATTTTTGCTTGACTTACAGTTTAGACTGTCACCTTTCCAACGATATATAATATGTATATATTTCTTTCACGAGCGCCACTCTCAAACGATTCGAACGACATCCAGCGGAATCGGGCACGAACTTATGCACTCATCCAATACATAATTTTCTGAATACTGCCATGTACGCAGTTAGGTGCTGGACGCAGTCGCTTAACACTTTTAAGCGCTTAGCTGCCAGCGCTACATTTTGAACATTTTGGTTCTGGAATACCGGTACGGGGGACGTAGTTGCGTAATTTTTCTGCGAATGAGAATTTAAAATTGAAACTTGAAATTTAATTTTTCCATGCTCATCCTTCACATTTTCCAACTTACATTAACAATTGCATATTGCTAAGGATACCAATAATAATTGCCAACCAGCAAATAAAGATAAAAACCGAAAATTAATAAGATAAAAGTCCTTTTGTTCAACCCAATCTTCAACAGTCAAAGACAATAGACGACACCACCGCAAATGGAAATGTTTATTACAACGTCAAACAAAAAAAAAACTAATGATTTTTAAACATTTCAAAGAAGAAACGACACATTCGCCCTCTCAATGTCACTTCGCAGTGTACAAATTATTTTCAAAGGATAGACGAAAACGCTTTAGAAGGCAACTCAAGTCCGCAAAGTTTTATGCACGCATAGAAACACATCTACAGACTTACAGACTTACAGACTTACACAACAGCAGATTCATACGCAAGCAGCTAAAGTGCTTGAAGAAATCACGATAAATGTTTTGTTTATAATTTATTTTATATTTTATTTATTTATTTCACACAATGCGGCGGTCTCTTATCTGCCACAAAGCAAATCACCCAGTACCCGGTGTCCTTCAGTGGGCGCATGGTGTGAAAGTGAGAATCTCACATAAATAATGGCAAACACTGCATTTATACTCAAAGTAAAACAAGCTTAGTTGTTGTTGTTGTTGTAATCGCATTTTACATAGTCACACAAACAACTTATCGTTAAGCCGATCTTAAAGCGACTGTCAACAAGAAAACAACACTGGACCAGCTGCAATATGCATATGTACAGGAGTATATATATCTATATATATAAATATATATATAGACCAACATGCGAAGTGTGGTGAGTTTGTCTTCTGGCGCTATTACTGTACAATTTAGTGAAAAAAGAAAATAAATAAAAAATATATCTGCAACCTTCAAGAAGACTCGACGACGCTTTGCACCTCGAAGGCCGTAAGCGTGGCCACGCATGTGTCGGGAGAATTAATATGTATATGTACGAGTATATCTGCGAAAAATGCCACTTAAGTGTTTGGAAATGAAATTTATCTCACACAAAAATGTCATTTCCCCGAATTTTCGGCGGAAAATAGCATTTTTCAAGACAAACGTCTCTGCAAGTTTTATGCTTTTTATTTATTTTATATATAAATATATATATATGTATGTCTATGTATGTGGGTGTTGTATTTCACTACCCTTCCACCGATCATCGCTGAATGCTCAACTTTTTTTCTATGCTTTCAGGCGTTGGAGCTACGCAAAACAGTGCACCACCACCGACCAAGGGAGCCGCAATCAGCGCGCCACGGAGCGAGCAGCGAGAAAACAACAAAAGCAAGCAAAATAAAAAGCAAGTTAAGCAGCCGCAGGCAACACAATCGCGTAAGCCCATCAGACGTACGCAAAGCGAACGCCACCCACGCCCCACAACATCATCCGCAATGTGCACTAACAATGCCAGTGGGGAGAGCAACAGCAACAGCAACAGCAGCAGCAATAACAATAACGAAAACAACAATGGCTGCGACAACAACGACTATCAACTTGAAGACCACACTACAAATGGTGACCTGCGTTTTGTGGCCAGCTCTTGTGCCGCTAGCAGCAGTGGTGGTTACAGAGAAAGCAACAACAATAACAGCAGCAAGAATCATAAAAAGAACAAAAATGAGAGTCGACGCGAAGAGGCCATTTTAAGTTTTAAAGATACAATGGCATTGCGCGGCAAGCTGAACCGCAACGATAGCAGAGATTTATTTGCTCGACCACGCGAACCGCCACCACCGCCTCCGACGCCACCTACGCCCACCATTGTGAGCCCCATTGCCAACGTACTGGTAGCTGAAGCATCTGCTGCCCAAACGACCTCGACCGCCACCACAAACACCAATAGAGCTGGCAATAACAAGGTCGCAGCCGTTGCACTAATGGCGACGGAGACGGAAGCGCTGTTGTCGACACAAGACTGCCAAGCAAACATTTCGACACTATCGCCTTTGCCTGCTAGCAGCCGGCGAGCGGTGGACAACAGCAGATCAAGTAATGCGGGAGGCGTGGAAAAAAATTCGCCATTCACCGGTGGCACAAATGGCTTAGAGAAGCCAACGCAGTTACTACTAGAACAAGCAGCTTGTGCAAAAACTGCCGCACAACTGGCATATGAGAGTCGCACTGATAGCGCACGTCGTGGCATGCAACAAATGGTATCACAAAACATGCGCGAAACAAAAGTACCGCAACAACAAGCACAACAAGAACAACGCGGCTCACGTAATGCCTGTGAGAGTACAACTCGCGTGATAACAAATCCGCACGGCAGCAGTTTGTCGTCTTGCTCGACAGCTACCAACACCAGCTTCGCCATTAACACTAAAACCTCGCCACATCAACAGCGTACAGTGGTACGGGTCGCACCGTTTAACAAAACGAAAACCACTTCGGAAGTTCATCGTCTCAAAATAAGTCACACCGACAACGACGATGCCCTGACAACACACACACACCTGCCGCCGCCAAACCAACAGCAAAAGTCGCCCATATCATCACCACACTACAGTTTCCATTATAACGCTGCGTCTGGTTCAACGTTCGCTGACGAGGCAGGTGAGCTCTCTATGTCTACTGCACAGAAGAAAACTTCAATTTTAATTAACGGTGATGATTGCTATTCAACGATGAATCTAAGTTGCGATGATGCCAGCACTCCACTCTACCAATCCTCCGTCGTGGTGGCAGATCACAGTGCAAAAATGGCCGCAGGAGATACGTTAAATGATGCTGCCACACTTGGTGGCAATTACAGTGGGCTCAGAGTGACGACAACATCAAATACGGTCACCATCAATGTCAGTACTCCGCGCAGCGCTGCCGAAGAATTGATTTACCAGCATAATAAAATCAATACGTTGCTGAGTCAGCAGCCTGGCAACGGTAAAGGTAGCTATCCCTCTGCCGGTCGGGCAATTATACCAATTAAGGGTTCTTCTGAGGTGAATTTGCAACGCTCGGCATCGTCCACGTCCTCAACTTCGACCAGCTCAATGACGAGCTTAAGCAGCAGTGGTAGTGGCAGCGGTGGAAGTGGTGGTGCGAAACGTGGACGCACTTTGATTAGATTGGGTTATGAGCCAGAAAAGATCTCAACACTACCGGTACAACCAAAGGCCACACAGTTGTGTTCGGACATTGAGATTTGTGTACAAGCTCCTGCGGACGATGTCAGCAACATGGACATTGCCCAGCTGCTATCACATGAAGATGAATTATTAAAGATATTACGAAATCCTGTGGAAGCTGTGAAGAGAAATTTGGTGCCGCACGTTTGTGGCCGTAGTGAAGTGTCACCAACACGGGATGCAATAAGAAATAGGAAAATGAAGAATGTAAGCAAGCAGGTGGAAGCAGCGAAAGATGCCACAGTTAGTTCTAACAAAGTCAGCTTGCCATCCGAAAAGCAAGAATCCATGGTAGTGCAGAAAGAATTAACCGATTCGACGACGGTTGCAAAGTCTTCTTTTATAACAAAGTTACTTGAAGATCCTATGCTCAGCCAAGTGGCCGATGGTTTGGAGACTGAAACCGTTGCGGAACTCATCGAGAACTCTTTGAAACGCCTGCAAGAATCACGTAGCGCAGTAGATATGTCTGGTACCAAAGACAACGACGATATGAATCGTCTAATCAATCTATCCCTGCAGAAAATTAAAGAAGAACGTCAGCATACCACGCTCTCTGCGACATCTACTACGAATACATCTTCCACTGCTAGTAACAACCACCTTACCGTACCCACCAAAGATGAAGATGGTCTGTCCAATCGTGGCAGCATCAGTTCAGCCAATAGCTTTGCCTCAGCCAATAACTATGAAATGTTCGACTTCGACGCCAATGAATCGGATTGTTACCAGAGCTGCTCTAGCGAGATAACAACCCCTGGAGATGATGATATATGCTCAGCTAGCACCCGCTCGAAATTTTATCAGATGCTCGTGGATGCCACATTAGCAGAGATTGAGATGACCGCTAATATGGAAGAGGACATTGGCAGTCATCACTATGAGTCGATAAGAAATAACGGTGATCCAATATACGAGGAAATCAACGATATGCCGCCACCCTTGCCACAAAGCGCGCCGCCATTAAGCGACACCGATTTAGATAAGAAAGCAGCACGTTCCATATTTGAAGGTGCCTCAAAATATGATATACTCTCGTACCTTGTAGACGCTAAAGAGCGTGGCGTTGTTCGTGAGGAGACTTTTGATTATCCTCTCAATTGTTCTAACCCCATAATAATAGAAGAGGAAGCTGGTGATACGCTTAGCGAACTCGGCAAAGGGTACGCAATGCGTGATCTCAGCTCTCGCGCTTCAGTTCTGAGTGATTCAAGCGAAGATACTCAAAGCATGATGAGCTCACTCTCTCCAACAACCAACAATTTCATCAGCGGTAACGGCAGCCACAACACTTTACTTCAACGCAAAGGCGCCTCCAGCGATATTGAACGGAACGACTCCGGCGTAGGATCGGAGACTAGTAAAAGCTCGCGTAGCAAATATCAAAATCCTCTGCCCACTGTGAATGCACAAATTTCCAAAGACAGTCCCATACACTTATGTGAGGACTGTGATGGTCCCGTAGAGACACAAGTCACCGACTCAGGTATTATGTTCGCACCGCTCGTTTGTCGCAAATGTGGCAAGAAACGTGTGGAGCGTAAGGAGATCATCACGGAAATTGTCGAGACCGAAGAGAAGTATGGTCGTGATTTACAAATCATTTTGGAAGAGTTTTGCCATCCCATGCTGGTGGCCGGTCTATTAACACAGGAACAGCTCTCTGCAATCTTCTTGAATACCGAAGAATTGCTCGAGAACAATCAGACACTGGCGGAGCGTATGCGCGACGCACTCGACATTGCTCTCGAGCAAGGCGACGACGATCTGCTGACGGTGAACATCGGTAAGATATTCCTCGACTTCACGCAGATGTTGCACGCCTTCGAGAGCTACTGTGTGCGACAGGCAGGCGCCAGTTTGCTGCTCGCCAATCTCGAAAAGGAAAAGGAACTTTTGCGCATTTTCCTGAAGGTCTCCCAAATGGAGAATGCAGTTTTGCGTCGCATGAATCTCAACTCTTTCCTAATGGTAAGCAGATATTCATTTACTGTATTTGTAATCTTTCCAATCTGTAACTAAACTCTGAAACCACATATGTACGAGTACATATACGTGTAAGTATATATATAACAGTAATATATAGATATAAGCTCATTGTTTACACAATTTAATGCTATCATAAGCTACACTGCAAACGCACATTGGTTTTCAATTCCTCAAAGCAAATTTCATAGAGCCTCATTTATTTCCTGAAGCATACACTCACACATACACATTCATATCATTCGACGTTTATTTATAGTACCAATTATTGATTGCCTTCATCTATTGCTTAGGTACCCGTACAACGTGTAACCAAATATCCCCTTCTACTCGCCCGCCTCTACAAAGTGACGCCTGCTCATCTCGAAGGACGTAGCCAACTGAAGCAGGCCCAGGAAAAAATCGAATTGCATCTCAACCACATCAACCAGGAGGCAAAGGATGTGCCAACCAAACTGTGGCGTCGCATATCGTCATCGAGTCCCAATCGACGTGCTTCCTGCGAAATCGATATGATCAATATAAAACTACGTAAAATGGCCATCGACATACTCGAATGGAATCATGATGAAGTACGTTTTGCCATGGAGGGCAAACTGCTGTATACTCAGCCCACTGATAGCAATTGGAAGAAAGCGCGCACCATCAAACTGACGCCGGTCAATGCATTACTCGTTACAAATGGAAAGGTGAGCAAGACCAAATTCAGTGAACCAATCAATACCCAGCAATCGGCAAACTGAAAAACTTAGCCAAACAACAAATGAATGAACTTAAATGAATTTATACTTATTTGTATATGTATATGTACGTGTGCGTGTGCGTGTGCCTGCGAGAGAGACGGTGGCCTGACCTGTCAATAGTTTGATGGAGATAACTTGACCAACTGTCATTCTCCATATCAATTTGGCTTTAGGATTTCTTCAACTAGAAATCAGACTGATGCAAGTGGTTGTTTGTTGCTAAAAATGGTAGGAGTACAGCATTTGAGAGGCAATAGAAATAGTAAACAAATGAGCGAACAAATATTAAACGAATGAAGAGCCAATATGACCAAGAACACTTTCAAATTGCTGAGAAAAATCTCGAGGGCAGGAAGTTAGGGGGAAAGTTATAGCAGGGCTTTGTATCCAGAGGGAGGTCAACTTTATTATGCTGTTTATGAGTTAATACTCATATAGGGTTATCCATTTTGTGGTAAACGTAAATAAAATGCATTTAAAATAATTTTTTGAAATAAAATGAAATTCTCTTTTTATTTATAACCATGAAACTTGGTCAAATGCTCAAGAGCTAAAAGTTTGTCCGCATAAATATGGTCTTGCATGTAGCTAAGCTCCACACACACCTCCGGGCTAAAGAGTGCACCATATAATATATAAATAACTGGTGCTTTGTAACAGCTGACGCGATTTTCGCGATACACAGGGGTTGACATTCCCTGCCGAGAGGTGACCGCAATTAGAAAATTTAGCTTAATTTCTATTTAAATCAATTTTCTACAATTTTTTGGATGTCGTACGACAGCAGGTTTTGAACCCGAGCCTTCCCTTTGGCAGTACGCAATGCTAACCACTCGGCTACCACGGCCGCCAGTGCACCATACAGGATGTTATATGAGGATTCGAAAAGCAAGAAATGCAACAATTTTTGCTTATTTACGTAGAACCGAGTGAGATATTTGCATCGTCCCTGAAAAATATTTTGTCCACAAAATCATAGTTCACTGTTTGGTGTCCATGCACCCAATCGACGCTTGCACGATGTTGTGAATGGGCAACTGGCTTCAGTTGTTCCGTAAGCTGGACTTTTTTATGAATGATGGTGTAAGTCCAAGTGCCAAATGCGCCATAATCTGTCGTCTTAATAGAGTACCAGCTCTTGACAACGTCAAGAACATTGTGGAACGAGCAAAACGGTGATGATCTAGGCCTTACAATATCTGTAACCGATACATCTTCTTCAAAATTCTTTTAAATTATACCAATTGCTTGAATAATTGGACAAATTATGTGCACCATAGTTTGCTCAATACGTGGCCATGTTTGAAACAACATCATGATTTTTGTATTTTAGCAATCTTAACCCATTGTTCGGTTGATGAGCATTCCATTTGCATAATTCCCTAATTTCGAGACATAAGAAAACATATTTGGTTTGGCAGTTAAGTTTAACAGATATCAAAATACAGCTCGGTACTTTTGAAGCAACGAAATGTATATCGCTCGGAGTGTACTCCTCACAGAAAACCATACGGAAGCCGCATATCATAACCTTTTTTATTGAACTATATTTAGCATTAGCATTAGCAAATAGTTCAGCCTCAAATTTAAATGAAATCATTTCAACACTATAGATTTTTTTTTCTGATAAGCGGGGCCCAAATATCTGGAAAACCTGAAGAGAACGGAAGTGTTGACGACATTTTTAGCCACCAAGGAATTTCTACGTAAACTCATTTGGTCTTGATTTCTCGGCTACTTTTGTATTCATATGTATTTGTCTATGTACTGTAACTTTCATAACCTCCTTTTGACCGTCTTTTTAGAACCGTTTTTATACGAACATATCTCTTTTGTTCTCGTATTAAAAAAATATATAAAAATACAACTCTCTGGGCGTTTTTAGGAGAGATATTCTTTAATAAAACGTTTCTCAAGAAAAGCCACCCTTATCGATAGCGCTAGCCGGCAGCACCTGGGAAAGATAAAGAAACCTTGCTGACAACCTATGAAGCAACTGGCCGGCCGGTCGTAAACTATGTTGTTTGGTGCAGCACGAACGCGACACAGTTGAAGAAGTTACAGGCTTGGTAGAACACTGTCCTCAAGATTAGGACAGGAAACCTCCTGAAGTCGTCGGAGCATCACTAGCACGAGCTAAGGAGCATAATGGTTATCTGTGCAAGCAATCTCCATTGGAATGTTACCATAAGGAACACCCCAATAAGCACTTACTAGAAGCTAAACCTCCACACAGGCACATCAGGAAGAAAGTACTCGACATGAAGCACACCATCCAGCAACACGTGCAGCAACCGCTGAACAGGACAGCGTACAGACAAGCACTGAACGCCATTCACCAGGAGTCAATCAATATCTTCGAAGACTTCCTTCCGTGAATGAAGCCACCACCCATCGCAGACAACGAGCTTGGGCTGCCTCGAGAGACCCGCATGGCACTGGCACAGCTTGGGGCTGGATATTGTAGCAGATTAAACTCTTACCTATCCAGACTCAACCCAACATACCCAACGTATGTCCAGCATTTGCAGAGTCTCCGTATGACACTAACCACCTTCTCTAAGCCCCTTCGCCCTCTGGTTTGATCCCGTGGAGAAACGGCACGTTTCCCAGACCTACCGTTAGATGACCTCGTGGACTTAGATTGACTTTAAACCTGTCTCTCAGCGGGTTTGACGTTAGCCGCTAACACAATAACAACAGCAACATTATTTGTTTGTCTCCTTGAGCTTGACTCGTCGAAAATTATTGAAACGGTATATGTTTGAAGCTTTATGGGATGTATAAATATAAACGGCGGACTAGTTAAGTCTTAGAACTTAGAAAAAAAAATAGAAAACTTTTTAACGAGTCCGATAACTCTTCGAATACCGCCTAAAATCATTCTAAGGTTCAGAAAGACGCAAAAAGTGCATTAGAAAACTTTCTGCAGTGCCATCAATGGAAGCCCAGAAAAAAACTGAGAAGATATCTGGAAAAAGCGCACTAAGTGCTCTATTATTCTAAACTGGACTTCATCCGCAACAAAGTGCTGGTTATCCTTTTGAACACCCACCTTCCGGGATATTTAAAATCCTCAACCAAATTTCATGCAGAATAATTGGGTATATTTCTCATACTAGACGCAATGTCCGTCATAAAAAGGTGGATTAGATACAAACTTATTAATCCACCGAACCAGGCGACACCCGCGGAAAGCAAGGAAAATTCATATATTCACCATGCATGGGCCAAGACCGAAGTAGCATCAAATCCGAAAGTGGACAAGGTCAATCACATAAAACCTGCATCTAAAAATCTTTGAAAGACCACTCGTCATCTACAGCATCGAAGAATTAACATGCTTACTCTAATGGAAAAACCAGCGGCGCAGGACTTCACGATATAGCTGGCGTATTGAGTAAGGATTTACCGTAAAGGACTACACGCTTCGCACTCATCCCAATATTATAGTAGAAGAGCTCCAAGAAATGTTGCACAAACAGTTCATGGGTTTTCTCATAATGCTAGAATAACTATTTGCTGCCACAACAAAGTTCAGCAAGCAAGAGCTCTATAATCGACTATTACAAAAACCTTCCTTATCTCTCGCCGGAGAAGCTGCACTACACCATCAACTTCTCTTTGACAATCTCTTATCTATATGATTTTAGTACATGAAAATTGCTCTGAAAGAGAGAGCCATAGCCATCATTACAAATGGCTCGAAACTCGATGACAGAGTATGCGCTGGAATTTCTCCACACACTATTTCCCTCATGGGAGCTGTCGAAAAATTGCTCAACTCTACGTTTACAAGCCAATCAATCTGATTTAGATGGTCAAAGGTGATGATAAAATGTAGAAGTATAGCAAGCAAGCGATCACGATAGCCCAGTGGTTAGCATTTTGTACTACCGTTCTGAAGACCATCCTTAGTATAAAATTCCATCGGCCGTTCGAGGGCGGCTTAACATAAACTGTGAGTGCCTCCATTTGTTGGAAAAACATCAAGTCGCATACCACAAATTGGACTTGGAGTTCGACCGAAAATCTTTATTTATGCATATAGTAAGCAAGCTCTTGAATAAATGCAACACAAGCACAAGCTACCTAGGGGGAATCTCACGTTAAAATCATGCACATGAAGCCCAAGGCGAAACACATACCAAAACTGACCTTCGTTCGAAAATCCAATATCAGATTGTTTGATAAAACAACATGGAATGTGACTAAATGACTAGTTACGGAATAAAAAATTTTGGTAACACAACAGAAAACTATTTAGTGGGGCATAATGGCAAGATATTGTGATGCTACTCCTTTTTTTTTTGCTGCAATAGGAGACAGTTGAATAATACCTATGTCAGCTTTAATAACCACTGGATATAAGTTTCCTGGCTCTTTGGTTGACTTGCTGGCATAACTAGAGCTAGCATTGGTGAAAACGCTATATTTGGAAGAGGCTCGTACGTTGGAGAAAATGATGACAACCCTCCAGCGACAAAAGAAGTGCCTGTAGTAGACTCATTTACCCAAGTCCACTCCTAGCAGTTTAACAAATTAAATGGAAAAACTAGTAAATAAATATATTAAGAGGGTTGAGGATATATATATCTATTAATTATAGTGAAGGAATAATATATTTAAAATTTAAAATTTTTTTTAGCCTCTTATATATTTGGCATATTTTTTTATCAACAGGGCGTATGAGTAACTTTTAATTATCTAGTACTTCGCGGTGAAGCGATAATTTTTTTATTGATAGAATCTTTTTGACAATGAATACAGGAAAGTGTATTTTCATCGAAGCGCTAACCAATTCTTTGTTTAACTGATATCCTTTTTTTTATAAATTAATACAAAATAGACTTTGTTCACGAGAGTCAAACTTTCACTTCCGTTGACGAGTGTCAAAAGTCGACAGACAAAAGGAAATTTCCATGAGCACGAATATTGCTCACAACAACAGTTACACATAATGGCTGCCAATGTGTGCATCGAACTGTTAAAACAACTCATTTATAAAACTATAAAATCTGCGAAGATAAGTTGCATAACAGAAAATTTATTACAAAGCCTCCGCGCATATCACGGTACATTTTTAGTGAATTGATTTTAGTCACAAAGCAGTTTATTCGTAGTAAATACAGAAGTGCATGGCTGCAAGCGAGCATGCATAAAGCTTGGCAGTGAACAAAATGCAAATATTCTGGCTGTGAACCCAAGTACAGCATGGAAGGTGTCGGAACACGTTGTCATGAAGTACGACGACTAACGAATTCTGGTATTTATTTCAACTATGTTTCTGAATCGGCAGGACCCGAAGCTATTTGTGAACGACTGCTCGAGGCCATGTTAGAAAGTTCTTTGCATTATGTTCTCTACGAGAACTTGAATCATTAAAACCACAACATAATGATGGATTAGGATGTTTCTAATTTACATTTTTGTACTACTCGTTCATCTTCCAACTGATGGTGATGATTTTCAAATCAGCGTCGCCTATCGGTGAGAAATTTCAACGCCACAAGGTGTATAACGTTAGCGTAATGGAATATACTAGCAGATTGGTTAGCGCTGCGTACTGACATTCGAATGGCTGGGGTTTTATATCCCGGTGCCACCAACATCCAAGAGATATTGAAAATTAATTTTAATAAAAAATTAAATTAAATTTTCTAAATGCGGTCGCCCCTCGACAGGGAATATCCACCCCTCCTATCGCTTCAGCGGATACAAAGCGCAAGTTATATATATATATATATATAAATATATAGAAATAAACTTGTCGATTGCTCCAATCGTTACCACAAATTAAGAAAGTGTGTCGACTTAAATTCATTTCTCCAATTACGTTAGGCTGAGCTGGCTGACCCATTGGTACTCAAAGAGCTTATAATACACCCATAATGTTGCGAGACACACGAAACCCGGCCAAGCTGCACTGCAACACTCCAATTCAAGTGTCTCCAGTGTGAAGAACAATCGCGAATTAAAGTAGTCGTTCTGACCCCTTGCCCATTGCTGATCCACCGGTTACTAAACCTCTATTATTTATTAATATATGAGAAATATATGTTTGTAGTATTCGGAAAAATAGTTCACAAATTTTCTTTCGGGAGGAATATTGCGGGAGTGGTAGCGCTTGGCCGGATGAAAAAGCTAGTCATTTCACTATAAGGACCCGATTGTCACGGGAACTATTGGATATTAGTCGCCTCTAACGACAGTAATGCCTTACCCCGGGTAAATTTTTGAGCACCTAATCAGTGTCATACCAGTTAAATACTAGTTCCTTTATGCAAGCGGAAATTGAAATATACAAAATTAATTTCGTTAGATTCGAACCGGTAATTTCATGAAAGACAGCGACACCTTCTGGACACAAAGTTATCTCGATTCTAGAAGCTCTAGTAGCAAAAAACTGCTAGCATTAGCTTAGCATATTCGAAACTAAAAATCAGCTATGCTTTTCTGGTCACTGATAGACATAACTGATATGATTTCACCTCCAAAATGCTACTATTTAACTAGAATTTTTTGCAAACTCGTTTGAATTTTCACTGCTGTGCAGCGCACTACAGGGTATTAGGTATTTATGTTTATATGTATGTGCGCATATGTGCGCATAACTGTAAAATAAAGTGCAAAACTTCATGTTGCATGTGCAAGTGTCTATCTAGGTTTGCCTCATTCGATGAGAGTCACACCATTGAGGTGGCTGGGATAGATGGTGAGTAACTCACGCATTGAGTTCATATTTTAAAATTTACAAAAGCCACTGACTGTGGACACCAACTATGGCAGCAGCTAGCAGGAGCATAAAATCAACGCCTTTATGGCTTTATATACAAATGCAGATATTCGCTCCATTCATGTGCACGTTTGAGTGTCTGAGTGTGTGTGTGTGTGTGTGTGTGTGTGTGGGTGTGTGTGTGTAAGTTTAAAAGTATACTCTTGTACATTTTTTTGGGAAATAAAATTATAAACGATTCTCACTATTTGAATATTTTTTTTCAACATTTCCTCCTCATCCTATGATCCTGCTCTTCTAACACCTACTAACGTGCACGCCGATGCTTGCAGCCAAGCGCCAATTACAAGGCAGAGAAAGTTATGTCAGATAAACCGAAATTCCCGAGACACAACGGCATACGGGAGGCCTCGCTGTTGGTTGTGAAGGAGAAATGCGGACGTTACACACTAATACGTGAGCCATTGTATCTGGACAGATGCGTTGTGTGCAGTGAAGCGGATTGGGATGATTATTTTGAGGTGCAGGAAATCTCATCGAAGGACACTTTCATATTCAAAGTGAGTATTTGAAAAAGAATAAAAAATAACAATTTTACATAAGGCAATAATGTGAAAATGAAATAAAAACTTTAACGACATTTATTCATTCAATGAGATTGGTGGCAGTTTGGCAGAATTTTCAACATGGCCATTCATGTACGAGTATGAAAGCCTGCATTGAATTTGTGAAACCCTTACTTTTTATTGCTTATCTACAAATTTGTACTTTTAGCTATAGCATACATACATACATTCATTTGCTTCATCTTCTTCTTCATTGTGCTAGACCGTTAGTACCTACTCTCCGCTGTAAACTGTGCCATAAGGGCTCGAAATCGCATCCGCGCTTCTGAACACGCATGTGAACCATATAGCAGAGCGAGTGTGATGAGCGACTTGCAGAATTTGATTTTGGTTCGTCGGGAGAGGACTTTACTCTTCAATTTCCTACTCAATTCAAAGTAGCACCTGTTGGCAACAGTAATTCTGCGTTGGTGTTAATACTGGTTCCAAGAGAGGCGAAATTTTCTACGACTTCGTAGTGATGATTATCAACAGTAACGTGGGAGCCAAGTCGAGTATGCGATGACTGTTTGTTTGATGGCAGGAGGTATTTCACCTTGTCGTTGTTTACTACCAGACCCATTCGCTTCGCGTTTTGTCAAGCCTGGGGAAAACGCTGCGTTTGCTGAGATGTATTATACGAAACACATTGGCATTCCAGGAGTTGTACATTCTTGTTATTTTCTCCAGTTATTTATTTTCTCCAGTTGTAATTGAAGAAATCACGCGCTAAAGGGTCACTCTGTGTGAAACCTCGTTTGGTACCGAACGGCTCGGAGAGCTCCTTTCCAATTAGAACAACGCTTCCGGCATTGTTCAGAGTCAAGTCGCATAAACTTAGGAAGGACATCAAGTTTAGAAGAAAAGCGGCGTAAAGGCAGCTCTTTACTGTGCTGTCGAAGACAGATTTAAAGTCGATGAAAAGTCAATGTGCATCGAGTATTTTCTCACGGATCTTTCCAAGACGTGGCGCATGGTGAATATCTGGTCAATGGTTGACTTACCAGATCTAAATCCACACTGAGAATATCAAATCAGTTTGTTGACCGTGAGCTTTAGTCTTTCACACAATACGATCGATAGACACTCAGTTGCGATATTTTGGAAGCTAATACCAGGGTAATGGGTGCAGAGAACACTTAAGTTCCAATCGCCGAATCATATTCAGCAAAAAAGCTGATGCATGCACCTTGTCGGCTCTTCATGTTAGAGTAACTCTGCCGGTAGGCCGTCAGCTCCAACCGTTTTGTTGTTCTTTAAGCTGGCAAACGCTATTCGAACCTTCTGAGAGTCGGGTAATAGAATGTCTTTTCCATCATCATCGCTTGGGACTTCGCGCTGAACATCTCTGAATGTTGGATTCTCACTGCCATTAGCTGAAGAATTGTTCCATCTATTAATCAATCATGCTCGGGACATCGGTCTCCATATTACATTATTAGTTCCTAGATGAGTATTCTCCGGTTTCGAGCTTTCTTTAAGCATTACCCTTGTCGGCCAGGTTCTCAAGCGTTTTGCTTTCCTCTTCAGTTCTCGGTGTATATTCCACCCGCACGATTTGTGGTTCATCCACTGCGAATCAACATTTCTAATCATGCCAATCCTTTTACTGCCACTGCCGAGAGGTAATTGCTTCCATTGAAGCGGTGCTGGGAAGTTCGGAATGGCGTTCCACAGTTCCCTTAATCTCAGACGGGAAGAGCGCAAGTCGAGTAGAAGACCGCATGGCTCTCTCTTCTGTTTTTATAGTTCTGCGCAGCGGTAAATGTAAATCATACCTGTTACCAGGAAGGCTTCGAGTCGATATTGGAACCTCGAAGAGTGCGCATATCTCAAACACTAGATACATATAAACCATCTAACACAAAATGTTTAATTTTTGCGCAATTTTGAATGCAACAACAACCATATATCTCAAGCTTTAAAGCTCACTTTTTATCTATTTCTTCCTAAGTATTGCCATTGGGAAGACCGGGCTTCAAATTCTGGTACGACCAACATCCAAAGGTTTTAGAAAATCAAATTTAGTTAAATTTTGTAATTACGGTGGCCTCTCGGCAGAGAATGTCAACCTCTCCGAGTATACTTTTGACATGAAATAAAAGGATACTCATAAAAAACCACCAGCCGCTTGGAGGCTGGTTTGGAGGTTTTAACTGTCAACTGGCAAGACTCAAAATCACAAATTGGAGGAGGAGCTCGACCGAAAAACACTTCAGCGTTTGCAAAGAGCAAATTATATATGCATATATATAAGCATTTAAATTATGTTTCGCCAGTCGAACTTTCACATTTTTTCATGAGTTTATAGTAAAATTGTTAGCGAAGACTAAGGAGCACTCTAAATTTTACAGTCTTGGATGGAAAAAGTAAAAAATTGGTCGATAGCGTTGATTTCAAAAATATTAATAATTATATTAATAACCAAAATATGTATTATATTAATAATAAAAAATAAAAATTATTTTTATTTTATTTTTATTATTTATGTTTATTTTATGCATTGACTTTATATTTACATTCATATTTTTAGGCTGAGGATGGTGTTCGTACAAAGCAGTGGTATTCGGAGTTGCAATATCACGCGCAAGGAATGGGCGCCTGGCGTAAGCGACGCAATGCACTAGCCAACATCATGATCAACGGAATGCTGTCGCGTAACTAAGATGTAATTGAACAACAAAAAAACAACAAGAACAACATCAAAAGCCAATAATAAATTAAAAGCAGATTCTCCATTGACCGAAAAAAAATAGAAGAAAAAGAAAAAACTTGTAAAAATAATTTCAATAAAAATTTTAAAAAATATTAAGCGACTAAAATACGTATATTATATGAATAAATAATATGTATATAATATGCATATGATTTTCTTACACTCGTAAATACATAGCTTAAAAGGTATTAGTTTTTCAAAAATTTGATGTTTTTCATATTTTCACAGTTGTACTGTGTTTGATGGTTATTGTAATCATACTACAACAACTAAATATGTAAATAATCTCTTCTTTTTTTTTGTTAAATATATATATATATATATATGTATACATATATATGCTCGAATGTTTCTGTTTATAATTCTATTAGTGATTAGACATTTTAAGATATTTTTTAGGAATCTTCGCTTTCGATTTTCGAAATTTTTATTTTACTTTCATGACAATTATATAATATATATATCTATATATAATATATATATGCATAAGCATATTTGTTAGTATTGAAAATTAAATCATTTGTATGCCTGTAATTCGAGCAAATTTTAATGGAAATTTTACTAAACTACATACATACATACATACATATATAAAACGTATACTACATTATATAAATATATACATACATACTTACACGATTGTGAACTAATTTTGTTTTATTATCTATGCAAATTACATAAACTACGTTCATACACATACTTACATATATACATATATACTATGTACAGGAACGTAATGAAGAAGTAATAAAATTACTATATTTAATAGTTGTTGTCGTTTTTTTAATTGTTCGCTAGTCGTTGCTTCTCTTAGTCACTCGCCGCCAATTGGAAATACCCAAGTGAAACCAAATCGCTCCCAGCCTATGCTGCAACGCATGCTCTCCTAGCTATAATATTTTGTCACACACACATGTCACATCTGAAAGGCATTATCTAGCCAGCATAGCCGCTGTTTTTCAATCCGCTGAATGACACCAATGTTGCCGCACAACTCGTATAGCCCAAATATCCGTCCTCGGCATGAATTTTCCGCAAAAACCTTCCGTTAAAAGGCTCACAAGCTCGACTCATCGGACGCCCCTCTGCACCATAGTATATGTATATATATATAATTGGCGTTTTTTAACTACTGAAGTTATTTTTGGCAGAGCTCCTGTTCCAATTTTGATAGTTTCCCCACAATTTATTCTTAGCCACCTCCGAACGCCCAATGGATTTTTGTTAGGAGCTTTTTATTTGAAGCCACAAATACACTCGGATAGATGATTGCCTGTTGGTATATTTTGCCTTCCAAATAGTAGCTCGTAACATCCATAACAATTTTTCGAATATACCAAACTCAGACTTACTAAAGAGCATAGAGACAGTGGCTTTTTGTTGTGTCGAAGGCAACATAAAAATCGACGAAGTTGCCATGTGTGTCGATAATTTTCCCACGACACTTGCCCAAAACTGAGCCCATTTTGAATATCTGAAATAGGCCCACACTAACAAGGATCTTTCAGCTCGTTGACACTGCGCCTTAATGTTCCAGAATGCCAGACAGGGCATTATCTGCGGTATTGATGAAGCTTAGTGGACCATTATTGGAACAGAGTGTTGTCTTATTTCTCTTCTTCTGAATTGGGCAGAGCATATTTAGACTTCAATCGCCAGACACCCTTCCTACGACCACTTTCTGTTAAGCAGATTGGGCAAATGTTCCCTCCATAAACCCAATGTAATCATAATGCAGTCATGGGGTCATCTTTCTCGTACCTAGAGGGTAGCTCTGTTCTGTAAACTGCGCATTTCAATCATTTTCTTTGTGGGCCATTTTCTTCAAGCCTTCCTGCAGTACGGAAGTTCTGGTGCAACCTCTTTTTTACCTTGCCTTCCTTTGGCGGCTCTACGTGGGGAGCTTGAATTGCCGTCCCATAGCTGCTTTAGACCCACAACTGGGTGCTTTCAAAGAGAATGCGTGCAACTCTAATAGATTCAATATATATATATTGCTTAGCTGTCTGTTGTGAATGCAACGTTTCACAATGGAGCCTTCCCTCTGTTTCTCGACACGCTTTCTTGGCTGTTACAACGAGACGATGTTAGGAAAACCGAGAGTACGCATATCGAAGACACTTCCATATCCGAAATCTAGTAGCCTCTACAATTTTCGGCTCCTGCGAAGGTAACTAGCCTCAGGGGATGTTCCGTCATAGAGGCATAGCTTCCGGCTGTCGTGTTGCTTGATTTATACTCAGACTCGCTCTGGAGCAATGTCTGCAAATTTTATTGACCAAAATAATGGTTGGGTTCCTGCGAAGCAATGCGCGCTGCTTCCAATATCTTCTTGTTATTCTCTATTGCCACCGCTCACGCGATTCAGTTCTTCTTTTCGCTATTTGGCGCCAAATGGAGATGTCAATCTCAGCCAAAGTTCAGAACGTCTTGAAGTGGCCCTTACTGACCCTGACGGAGCTTTAAGTGCTGCTTAACATCAGTTTCCATAGATGTATAAGTTTGGTGGAGATACCGAATTCAGACATAGCGGCGTAGAGGTAGCTGATATTCATGCTGTCGAAGGAAGGAAGAACACAAGGACCTACTTGCGTCCGTCCTTGTCCCGTCCACCGCACTACTTGGGCAGCGATGATGTCTGCCTTTATTCCTACGAGCACATCAACCAGCTGAGCAGCGGCACTTTCCCAATAAAAGGATCTGACATTCCAGCTGCATTCCCTCAAAAAGTGATCCTTAATACAGTTGCAGGGGTCGTCAACAAAAAAGGAGTATCTCATTTTTATTGAAACTGGTATATACGTCCAAAACCCAGCACACAATTTCGCTAGGCGAGTAAGTTGAAAGTTCTTACATATTTATGTAGCGAGCCGCTCGCATTCGCACCTACTGTCGCCGCATTTAGACTTCAGCGAACGCTTAAACCGAGTCGGAGTGCTTCCACTAAAGATTCCTCTCTCATTAGCCGTGACCCAAGGCTTTGTTACCGCATCTTGCACGAGGGTTTGCTCCCGTTTCCAGTGTGCGCAATGTGGACGCAAGAGAAGGAATTGAGTATAGCCTCGCAACTGTAACAGCATAACCAGAAGTTTGACTACACCCCATTACACCCCAATATGCGGTCGGTATAATTGCCCAGCACAGTCGCCAATTCGAGCAACCGGAGATGAAGTAAATCCTCAGAGATCTACTGTTTGGCATGCTCTATTAGCAGAAGAAATTATTAGCCCACATTTCTTTAAAAATGCAGACAGCCATAATATTGCTGTCAACGAAGAACGCTCGAATGTGAGGATGCTGATGTGGGTTCCAACAAGGTGTGGCAGCATGCCATACAGCCAACTAAATGATCAATTTACTGAAGAAAACTTCTGTAGAGCGTAAAATTCGCGTCTTGGGTCTGTAGCATGGACATCAAAGTCGATCCATTTAGCACCGCTGGAATATTTTACGTGGATTATGTGAACTCGCTGGTCTACACAAATAATCCCGAGACGATTGCCACCTTGGAGGAGCATAATAGGTGGGTTCATGCTGAGGTATCGTCACAATTGCTGCTTCTGCTGGTCGAAAACTGGACCTCTCGGCTGGATTTTTTTAGAGTCAATCACGAAATCATTTTTAAAACATAGAGGCAAACCTTTAAATTTTAGTAGACTTAAATTCCAGTTCATAATATGACATATGGAATCCATATGTTTAAAATAAATTCTCTTTAGATGTGTCTTATATGTTTTTTTTTTATTCTTTAATCGACTTAATAATCTGTCTGTTGCTTGTAAAGCGTTGTGTCATCAAAGGTATTAATCAAATTTCAATATTTTACATTCACCTGAACGAGTAGGTTTCGTTCTTTGTTTTTTTTTTAGCTGAACAGCAGCACATTTGGTCAACTGTTGCCATCATAAATAATCCTGCTTGAACATGACAAAACTTACATTGGATTTTGAATTGCCATAAAACTTTGTAAAAAATTGTCCAAAATGTAATTCTCTAAAAACTGTTGGCTGCATCTGTGCACAAGCTTTGAAATGCGAACAGTCGGTTTGGCATTCTTTACTCGCTCAAATACAACATGTGTATGTGTGTATGTATATTTTTATTTGTTTAATCGCCAACAAAAACAAGCACACTGGAGCGGCTCTATCACCTTTGGTGTAACCCCATCACCACCAATAATATTAACATCCATGCTCGACGTTTCCTAGTCTCTTCCAACTCGAACATTCATAAATGTCATTTAACACGTTGCACACTTTCAGGCGTCATAACAAATTGTTGCACTCAGCGTAAAAGCTAAAAGCCAGCGCAACTGGGAGTGCAAACCTTGTCGCTCGCAACTATTGTTCGCACTTTGGATGTTTGTTTTTGCCAGCACTCGTATTTATGTTGCTTCTGTCAACGCCGGCTGTCATCAGCAAGGCTCTTTGCTTGTTAGCTGCCTGCTGCCTGCCGCCGGTTGCCTACCTGAATGGTTACAGGATTCGTTTTATTTTTGCTTTGCCCAAAAGTGGACATTTCAACGGGACATTTGTGTTGACAACGGTGTGAAAGAAAAATATACAAAAAATAAAATAAATAAAATCTATATAATGGAAGTGTTGGCATTTGCGAGTTACAGTAATGGTGTTGCCATTGCCAAGATACGGATCACAAAAGTATGCAACACTTACTTTTTATTTGATATTTAGACAAAAAACATGCAATTAAAGAGAATGCAACGAATCCAGTTGATTTTAATTTAAAACTTTTATTGACTTGAAATTTCTTGGCAGTGAACTTTTTGGCACATCACGTTGCTCTAAATAAGTACGCACGAGCGAAGAGACAGGAGCGCATCGCAAATTTCCTATACACGTATGTGCTTTTCCGTACTCGGTACTTTCACAGAAGCAGTGTCACATCTTGTTCTAGTAGATTTTTATACTAATTTTGATAGGAGTAAATTATTGCTGCAGATATCTTCTGTCGAGCTCTTACTCCTTCTTGATGA